CACCTTCACCATCTTTACACCCCTTGGCCCATCATGTATTTTGACCATCCTTTGTCCCAACTATTGTCATTGACCAGTGTCCTGGTAAGCCCTGTCCCTCAATGAATCATGCATTTTCTGAGTGATGTGTCCTTTGAGCATTGTTGACTAAATTAAGTCCTTGGTTTAGATGGTATCTGTTGCTATCTTTAAATCTTTCTCTAAACAAGAAAATTTCCATTCCTAATGTTAAGGTTGTCCTTCTCTTGACCTTGGAGAAGGGGAGTTGATATCATTTGTGTTGCTATCTTGCAAGGAATTCAAAAGCCCACAAGCATTCTTCAGATTGTAGAATGAATGCAAACAAAGGAAATCCCAGGCCCCTCTGTCCATCTTCTACATATTGTGCCCTTCTGCTCCTTGTTCTACTTCATTGCACAATAAACAGCTAAGCAAGCATCCTGTCAGTGGGTCATGTGTGGTTCCATCTGTCCTTGCCTCCATCCTGTCCCATCACACCTTCAGGGGTGCAGTGCATGAGCTCACAGGATGGAGCTGCGAAGGCAGGCACAGCTCAGAAGTGGCCTTGAGGAATAGTTCTGGGCTGTGGTGAAACGGAGCACAGGTCTCACACAGGATCCAGATACCCTGCTCCACTGGTCACTGTGGCTCCAGGGAAAATAAGAGTGCCTGTGTCACATAGTTCAGATGTTCAAATTTAGAAGAGAAGGTGCCAGGGAACAAAGATGGGAATATGACCAGGCCTTCCCAGGAATCAGAGGGTTCCTTGGACACCCTCACCTCTCTCCTTCCCAAAATGAAGTTCTTGGAAGTATATTCTATGCATATGTGGAGGGGATGGGGCATGAACCCTGAACCCCAGGACAAGAACAGCCTCTTGGGCTTGTAGGTCCCAATGCCAAGCAGTCTGCAGGCAACCCCCCCATCCCCGCCCCTTCAACACACAACCCCCGGGAGTCTCTCTAGGAAACAGTGCCATTTGGAGGAAACTGTGCAGACTTCCCCTTTTCCAGGCCTCATGCCAAGTATCCAGGGGCATTTCAAAATGACTGAAGGGTCTGGCATTGAGGTGTTTGGTGCCCTCTTGACTGACCACAGCTTGCTATCACCCCTTAAGGATGTGGAAATTCAGGGGTACCTCCATGGATTTTGAGATCAGGCTATGCATGTCTGGTGCCAGCCTTTGACTTATACCATAATAGATCCCCCCTCTATGCCTTGGCCAAAGCTGTGCCCTTGGCCTGGCATGTTGTCCCTGCCCCTATCTGGGCCCTTTTCACCCATCTACAGTCATAGTAGAGGAGCTCAGTAAATATCTTTTGAATGAAAAAAAAAAAAAAAACCTACCTCAGTACTGCTGTGGAACGATGGGAAATGGTGTGTCAGTTGTGAAATGCCACACTGATATTAGTGGATGCCAGTTGGAATATAGTGAGCATTTACCCCTCTCTTTTCCCATCTTCCATAACAAGAAACTAATTCTCTCCCTCTCTCCTCTTTGGAAAATTATTCCTGCTAAGCATGGGCACCTCTGACAGCAGAACCCCCAATTACCAGCCTCTCCAGTAATAAAATGCATGCCAGCCACTTCCTGTTTTCCCCTTTTGTAAGTAGGTCCCTGCTGCCAGAACCTCTCAAGGCCGTACCTCTGATGCCTCCTCAGGCCAACCACACCATGGCCCTCTCCAGTTCTCTCTCTCTGCTCCAGTGAGCAGCCCAGGGCCACTCTGAGCAGGCTGGCTTGCAAGGCTGCAGCTGGGCTAGGAGCAGGCAGAAGACATGGTGACACAGAACAAAGATGCCTGTTTGATGGGTCCTGATGGAAGACCCACCTCTGACCCCAGAATTAACCCTCTTCTCAGCCATCACTGAAACTTTATCTTTCTGGTCTTCAACTTCCTCATGGGTAAAATGAGAAGCTTGGGTTAGAGGATTTCTAAGGCTTTTCTAGTGCTTTGGTATTTGGAAGGATCTAGCCAATCCAGGCAGACTGATGTGTCTGTTCCATGATCATCTTCTTCAGAGAGGCAGAGGGAAAGTCAGGACTCATTCCCCAGAGCAAAGGTGGAGCACCAACCCTCAAAATCCTACTGTGTCCCACTCTGCAGTAACTGCTTCAAGTTGCTTTAATGTCATCCTGATAGCAAACATTAGACCAATATTGTCATTTCCATTAAAAAAAGATGGGATATCTTTGATTTGAAGTGGTTAGCCTCATGAGAGGGAGGGAGGATTACTTGTAAATGCCAGTCTTTCTGACTCCAAAGCCCAGGCTGACAGGTGACCAAGGAAGTGCCCCATAAAGAACTGCAGACACCGTGGCCTCAGGCGTGTATTCCGCCCAGTTGGCAGTCATTTCCTTTACTCATGCACTGCCTCATTTAATATCCACAAGCACACACATGGGGAATGCAGGTGGCCCCCAGCTGACAAGGAAAAGACTGACTTTCCTACAGTCACTTGGCTGGTAAACGAGAGGGCTGGGACTGGAATCCTGATATCCAAATCCTGATATCCAAAAGTTGGAAAAGAAGCAACTCCAAGCACCGGCTGCTGTCTCTAACTCCCCAATTCACAGCCAGTGCCACTGAGGCATGAGGACCATTCCAATAAAGATGGTGAGCTGTCTCCTCCCACCGCCAGCCCACAGGTTCTTCCCACTTCCTCCTGCCCGCCCCTCATGTTAAACCAGCAAGTCAAAGTCCTCCCTGAGGCCCGCATGGCCCTGTCTAATCGACCCCCGACACTCTCCTCTCATCTTCTACTGGGACTCAGTGTCTGAGAGGCCATCTCTGCTCACAGTCAAAAAGCTCTGAACTCCATGCCCTTGACTTTGGCTGGAGCATGCCTCCACCGCTATGGCCAGGGCTCCTCCAGTGACTCTGGGGGCAGTTCCCTGGTGGGCTTCAGATTTACGGCCTTGAATGTCTGCTCACTTTTTTCCTGAGCTGTCTCAACCTCAGCCTCCTCCTGTGTTACTAGGCAGATGCAGTGATAGTATCCACCCTACACAGTTACTCTTAGGATTAAATGAAATATGTCCATATTTTAGTCAGCTTTTTAAAAGAATCCAAACAGAACAACTGTAGAGGAGAAAATGTTTATTTGGGGGTTCTTAGTTTCAGTGGTCTTAATCAATAGAAAACAGACTACATTCTTTGGGGCTCGAGGTGAGGAAGAACATCATGGCAGAAGAGTTATGGCAGAGTGAAGCAGCTCACATGATAACCCAGAAGCAGAGAGAGAGGTCTCCACTTGCTAGATAACAAATACCTGAAAGCCACACCCCCAGTGCCCACCTGCCCCAGCCACACTCTAGTACTTGCCTTACCACAGAGTTAATCCCTATCAGGGATTAAATCACTGATTGTGTTAAGACTCTCACAACCCAATCATTTCTCCTCTGAACCTTCTTACATTTTCTCTCATGTGAGGTTTTGGGGGACACCTCACATCCAAACCATGACAGTACCTATATTATTATTATCATTAGTAATGGATTGTTAATAGATTTAAAATAAATTGTTAATAGATTTAAACTAAAGGGAAAATGAAGTGTCTGATAAGAATATACAACTTGTGTTCATTCTACTCATTTCTATGTTTAGCTACATTAAAATTCTCACATGCAAAGGTGGCATTATTCCTATATTCCAACACTTATCACAATCCAATGTATACAGAAGACACTATAAATGTCTTATAAAACAAAGGAAATAGAATCAAAGAAAAGGAAGATAAAATTTTAAAATGTGTTTGTCTGCCTGATAGATTAAAATGATCCTTTGACAAATAATAACATTGTCATCACAATCTATTAGAGACACCATATACATCAATAACTATGCCTTCTACAAAGGCACTATGAAAAAGAAAAGAAATCCTCTCTCCCCATCTGGTCTAAGGATCTAGATTCAGAGAATCAGATCTTTGATCCAACTGGCTCCATGATCCAAGTTTCCAATTTAGCCCTGGGCCTCTTAACGTAAGTGTTTCTTTTACCTGTAGAAAGAAAGGGCCTCCCTTACTCCTGTGGCCCATCTCCACCATTGCATTTCCTATGCTCCTGAGTTAAGACACCTGAGATTGGAAAAGGGTGGACAGAAAAAATGGCACTGCAAGCCAGTGCTCAGAAGAGGAAGGCCCTCACACCTGCCGCCTTAGTGGAAACACCTGAGGACAGCTGCCAAAATACCGGCTCTTAGGAACCATCACCCCACACCCACCATCACTGCCTAAGTCTTCCTTCCTTCTGAGCTCATTCCCCAGAGGCATAGAGTCAAGGTGACAATAACAAAAGCAGTAACCAGGGTTAGGAAAACAATTCATGAAGCTCATGCAGAGATGACTTGACTTGGTCCTCTTGCCTCTCTTTGAATGCAATCACTTCATTAGTGCAATAGGAAATAAGATTTCCTCAACCTCACTTAGGGATGAGCAAACAGACTCAGGGAGGAAAAACAATCTCTACAAGGAAGCAAAGAGGCAGGACCTGAACCCAGATATTTTTTTCCCTCTAAATTTAAAGTCATATGTCTCTATAAGAGCAATGAAGCATATTAGGTGGGGACAGCTCCAAGATTGGATCTCTAGCAGCCAAGAGAGGTCTTGGAACCCTCCAAGAGCACTACAAACCTATAGGGTAAAATCAATAACACCCCAGACCCACAGAGCTGGAAAAGAAGACACACGAGCAACATGAAAAGACAAGGGAAGAAAGTGCCCCAAACAAATCAAGACAACA